ATGCATATATATATATATATATATATATTTAAGAAAAATATGTTATGTTTATATATTAAATTAAATATTTTCAATTAAATATTTTCAAAATATATACATGCATGTGTGTGTATTTATACATAATAAATATACACATTACGCACATATATTATGTAAACAAAAACTTTTATTTTGAATGCGATTAATCGCGATTAATCGTTTGACAGCACTAATTCAAATTATTTTACAATTATTAAAGTACTAATAATCACACTAATTTGTAGCGCAATTGTTTTACCGTTTACTGCACTTTAAGTGGGTCACACATCAGACGTGAAGCTGCGCTGCGGCTAATGAACTGAAGTCTCGCACAGACACAAGTCTATCTTTCCAAGAAAACTGAAATTAAAACCAGAATATATATAGAATATATTGAAATAAATTAGCTTAAATATTTCAAGAGGGTTACCAATGGGTATGTTTAGGGGTTAGGAGTTGGTTAGGACAATAATGAAGTGTATACAATTAAACAAATACATAATTCCATAAAATAATAATATACAGAATTGAATAGCAAGTGCTATAAAATAGTATGAGCCGCTAATACATACATACATACAAAAATTAAATTAAAAAAAACTATAGGGTCCTAGAAATGCGGTCCTTAACTACAGCCCAAATACAGTATTGCAGGAATACCCTACTCACAACAACAGCCTTACTGAAATTAAATGCACATTCATTCTCTGCCAGCAGGAGGCACTTTCGGAACTGTTTCCCAGGTAACGGCAGAACACAAAGCAGCGCAGCACCAGACTTTGAAATGTGCAGCGCTCATGTTTATTTAAAGCTGCAGTCCGTAACTTTTGGCGCTCTAGCGGTTAATTAACAGAACTGCGTGAGACTTAAGAAGAAGATTGTAGCCGGAGCTACTTCTCTCTGTTTATGTCTATGATTAATCTTGCAGGTACTGGGCTACTCCACAGCGGTACTTACCCGAACCAGTCTAAAATAGTCCGAATATAAACACTTATTATAGGTGTACCGTAGTGATTCAGGACAAGCCAAAAGCACGGTTTGGAAAATGGATTCATGGTGTACTCGCTTATTATATAAATTCTGTAAATTTTTAACACAAAAAAAGTTACGGACTGCTGCTTTAATGAAATCATATCCTTTTGAAGTTTAATCGTCACATTAAGCTGTATCGCAATTCTGGTCTGTACCCAAATTTAAGACCTCTTGAAATCATAATTAAGACTTTCTTGTAGAATTTAATACTTTTTATGACCTTAAATTTGATACAAGTAAATTTAAAGGTGCTGTATGTAGGATTGACACCGAGTGGTTGAACTAGGTATTGCAGTCCAAATTCAAATTTTTTTTTTATTATTATGCTTCCATTTACAACAAACAAACAAGGTACATAAACACATCACATAATCTAATAACACGTGAACAGCCTTAGGTTGAGCATAACCAGTGACAAACAAGATCACAATAAACCAATAATAAAGAATAAAATAAAATAAAATAAAAAAATAGAACAAATAAAACAAACCAAAACCAAAAGGGGCTTTTTATATTAGTTTATACATGCCCCAAAAACGAAATCAATTTGAGAGCTTTCTTGTTTTTAACCAATTCTAAAGATTTGCACAAAATTTTAACCTCATTCATCCACTGGTTAAAGTTGGGTTTAGATTTAAACCATCTACATTTATGAATGAAAAACTTTCCAAGACAAAGCAAGAAATTAATAACAAAATCCAACTCTTTGTTATCCAGACAAATACCAAACCTAATTAACTTCATCGTAAGGGGTGGGAGTTCAACCTCTCTAGACTGTAGCCAGTTCTGTACATCTCTCCAAAAAAAGTTGCACCAAATCACAACAAAAGAAAACATGCTCTAGATTTTCAATATTCGTTTCACAAAAAACACAATTATTCACATCCAAATTAAATTTCAGTCTTAAAAATTCATTGGTAGGATAAATCTCATTTAAAATTTTGAAGTTCACCTCCTTAACTTTAGGAGGAAGAGGAAAAGATATATAGCTTTTCCTAATTTTTTAAATTTCCATAATATCAAAATCTTTGAGCATGTATTCCCTTCTAATAGGGTTAGGATAATAAGCCTGTAAAATAAAATCTCTAATGACTCTATTTGTAAATTTTTTAGTCCAAATTCAAAATATTGGAGAGGGTTTTTTTTTTACCCGGCCCCTCCTCCTCAGACTTGACGCACAAGCCTATGGTATTTTTATGCTTTAGTAGAGTCAAAAACTTACATACAGCACCTTTAAGTCATTTAAAAACATTTAAGGACCCGCGGGAACCCTGTTATTACACAGTTCTTCCTCAGTTTTGTCTTGTTTTCCAACACAAATGTTTCAAGATACAATGAGAAGTAAAATTACATACAGCAATATCTTGTCAGTCTGAGTTTTCTGAGAAATTGATTAAAATGAAGAGAGTTTATGATAAAACAAGAACAAACAAAACAGGCTCGGAAAAATCAACTTAATGAAAATGGAAATAATGTTTTCATTTGCTCTTGTATTTAGCATAAACTCACTTAATGTTGTTGAATTTCTCAGAAAATTAGACTTAAACTATACTTCATTTTGCTTCGCAAGTGAATGCATCTTGATTTAAGGATGTTTAGATATTACAAAAGAGAAATACTGAGGAAGATGTGAATTTTTTGCAGTGCATGCAACATTTAATGTCATGGCTTTATAAGGCTTTTTTAAGGCCTTAATTTGTGTAAGGGTGAATTAAGAAGTCGTGGCCTAATGGTTAGAGAGTCGGACTCATAACCCAAAGGTTGCGGGTTCGAGTCTCATACCGGCAGGAATTGTAGGTGGGGGGAGTGAATGTACAGCGCTCTCTCCCACCTTCAATACCACGACTGAGGTGCCCTTGAGCAAGGCACCGAACCCCCAACTGCTCCCCGGGCGCCGCAGCATAAATGGCTGCCCACTGCTCCGGGTGTGTGTTCACGGTTGTGTGTGTGTTCACTGCTGTGTGTGTGCACTTAGGATGGGTTAAATGCAGAACACTAATTCCGAGTATGTCACCATACTTGGCCACATGTCACTTCACTCACTCACTCACTCACTTAAGGCTTTTTAAGACCCACAGAAACCTTGTCCTCCCCCCTAATTTTATCAGAATAATCAACAATGTACGGTTTCAATATTTAATACCTGGGATTCTTGCAACTTGAGGAGGAAGCTCAGATCTTCCTTGCTCTCCCTCCATGTGACTCTGTGAATGCTGGGAAGGTTCATCTCTCAGCCTTGGATATGTGGGGTACGGACTATAATGCGGAACATGGATCTCCAGAAACACAGGAACAGAAGAAACAGACTTAACGTAAATACACCAGAAAAGGTTTTGCTGAGAAAGTCTGGGACAGAGCTAAACTTTGAAGGAACATTCATAAACTTGATCTTCCTGTTGATTTAGACTGTTCCCGAAGGTTTTGATAACCTCTGAAAAATCGAATGAGTTACACAGCTACAAGAGCCTGATAACTGCCGTCTGTGCAGATTATGGAAAATGAAGTGATTAGAAAAAGAACATCAAAGAATTTAAACTAGCTTTGGTGATTCAAGCTCTCACATACTGCAAGTCGACTGCACAAGATAAAGAGAATAAGAAATAGACATGTTTTCTCCATTTTTTCTTAAAAGTGAGAGCAGCCCAACAGTTGTTGCAGTTTTTGAAGTTCGGATGAAGAGAGAAAAAGTTATTTAAAAGTGTAACAATGAGAAAGAGCAAATAAATGATTACACTACCTTTCAAACGTTTGGGTTCAGTAAGATGTTTTAATGTTTTTGAAAGATGTATCTCATGCTCACCAAAGATGCTTTATTTGATCGAACAATACAGTAAAAGCTGATTAAGATTATTATTATTATTATTATACCATTTAAGACTTTTATGGCCTTAAATTTGATCAAACTGAATTTATAAGACATATAAGTTACAAAAACCTGTTTTACCTCAATTAGTGTAAATAACAGTACTCTTATTAAAGTTGTAATAAGAGTTATATAAATTTTACATATTTTAAAATGTAATTTATTCCTGAATTTTCAACAGAAACATCAAGACACATTATTCTTATTATTAACAATGTCGAAAACAGTTGTTTTATCTTTGATTAATAGAAAGTTTGAAAGAACAGCATTTCATTTGAAAAAGAAACCTTTTCTAACATTAGAAATGTCTTTCCTGACACTTTTGATCAATTTAATGCGTCCTAGCTAAATAAAAGTTCTAATTTCTTTAAAAAACAAATTTACTGACCCCAAACCTTTGATCGTGTATGTATCATATTTGAATATATTTTAAAATGATTGCTGTGATCAAAGCTGAATTTTCAGCATCATTACTCCAGTCTTCAGTGTCACATGATCCTTCAGAAATCATTCTAATATACTGATTTATTATCAATGTTGTAAACAGTTGTGCTGCTTCATGTTTTTTAGAACCTGTGATACTTTTTTCAGGATTCTTTTATGAAAAAAATAAATAAAAGAAATATAAAAAACCCAGCATTTATTCAAAATGGAAATCTTGTGTTATAATATGCACTACCGTTCAAAGGTTTGGAAAGGTGTGGCTGACTCTTAACTTTTATAAAGATTATCTCTTTGGATTTGAGACTTTTGTCTTTGCAACTTTACAGATCTTGTTTATGCACCAAGAGCTTGTAACACTTCAAAGAGAAAGGAAAAATTTTACTCGCATCATATGACCCCTTTAACTCACCAAATTTTAAATTAGCTCAGACATTGACTACAATGGACAATGCTGTCTTTGTCTTACTAACATAATAGTTTGCAGGAATTTTAATGGATGCCATGGCAGAACAATCATGCCTGCGAAACATACTTGAAATTCAGGAGTCTCCAGTGGATGGGACAGCGCCCCTGCTGGCAAGGGAACAAATCCAACATGTTCCCTGAAGGCTCCTGGTGCAGGTGGTCTCAGGGTCACCAGATAATGTTGGAACAGGGGAAGAGGCATTGCCAACATTTCTGCTGGATAAACTTGCCCTGGAACTGCCTCTTTAGTAAAATACTTATCAAAAAAAGTTTGAACTTCTGCGGTTAGATACCTTAAGTTAATTAATTACATCATTGCCATGTGAAGTTTAATAATCAAATTAGGCCGTATCGCAATGTTCTTAAATTCAAGAACTCTTAATGATAATAAAGACATTTGTTATACCATTTAAGATATTTAAGAGTTTTATCACCTCATATTTATTCAAACTGAATTTATAAAACATTTAAGACATTGTACTCCCACAAATCCCGATTTGGCTGCAAAGTACTTAACCAAAGTACGAAGTACAAAGTACGTATTATTATTATTATTATTAAGTCTGTTCAAGCAGAAATGGTTTATTAAGGTAAAAAGATAATTATTAGGTAATTATTAACGCTTATAAATTTATTTTCAGTAATGTTACAAAATGCATTTAAATGCTTCAGAAATGTCATTACCTCTTAAATCATTTTATTGTTGTTAAATTGTGATTTTCTGTATCAATTCTATATGGAATGTAGAAAAACTATACTGATCGATTTTCATTTATAGTCTATAATGTTTGCTAATGACTTATTAAGCTATAATAAGAGTCCCTCCAAAAACATGTACGTTATATTAATATGGTTACTTGTAAAGGTTGCCATTGAAACTAAATGATTGCTGGTTAGAAAATAAGGTTTTAAAAAAAGTATTTAGTGAAAAAAGCACAAACCTCCAACGGCGCAATTCTGCGCGCTCGGTCCCGCCGGTGTCTTCGGATCACAGTTAACCGCGCTAACGGGACCGCACGTGCTTACAGGCGCGCGGAGCTCGATGTAGGCTGTATCGTCAGCGGGCGCTTTAATAATAGCACTCTTCTTTCTCGCGCTGATGTCGGTTTCACCGTTTACCCCGTTAGTTGAATTATTGTTACCCGCGGAGACCGTTTTTCTGGTGGATAAAG